AATACAAAATAATAATAATAATAATAATAATAATAATAATAATAATAATAATAATAATAATAATAATAATAATAATAATATCATTCATAAAACCTAATTAAGTGTAATCATGTATTTATAAAATCTAATTAATAAAACCTCATTTATTTTCCCTTCAAAATAAGTTACAAAATTTGTCATTCATATTTTGCCTTTCACATTATTACACCCTATGAAGTGTAATAATGTATTTTTTTGCTACATAGTTAATGCTATTACCAACTCATAATAATTCACATTAAATATAAATTACATAAGTATAAATAATTCTATTGTTTCAAGATATTATTATTATTATTATTATTATTATTATTATATTATTATTATTATTATTATTATTATTATTATTATAATAGTTAATGCTATTTTTTTGCTATTATATTATAATAAGTAATGCTATTAATTTTTTTTACATGATTACACTTAATAGGGTGTATTAATGTGAAATGTAAAATATGAATGACAAATTTTGTAACTTCTTTTGGAGGGAAAATAAATGAAGTTTTATTAATTAGATTTTATTTATGAGGTTTTATTTATTGATTAGCTAGCAATTATATATATATATAGACATAGATATTCACCTATCAGCCTACATCAATTACTGAACTCTACTTTTTATTTGAGTCTATTAATGAAATTAAATAATTAATATAATTCTATATAATATATTACCCCATGATTAAATTATATCTAGGAAATTAAATATTAAGTTTCTAGGGTGTTTTAATATATGCTTGCTCCATAAGGGAATTCCGTCGCACATTCCCCTTAAGATTCTAATAATAATTCCAAAATTGGTCTTATTTATTTCGTCTTTGGTTGGTGCATAAATTTTTTTAAAAAAAATAATAATAATAATTATTTTTTAAAACTAATTTTCTCCCCCTATACTCTACCGCTCCACCCACCTTACCCTATTCCTCCACTCCCAACCGTCCATCTTAATCCAATCACCACCGCCGCAAACACCAGCCACGTGTCCCTTTCTGCCACGTGTCCGCTACAGAGCCACAAGTCCACGCGATTTCCGTGAGACCATTTTTTTTCTGTGTTTTTTCCTTTTACCGGCAGCTGACGGTGAAAACTGACTTTTTGACCGCGGCGGAGAGCGATGACGTGCGGCGGTCGTAGAGAATATGAGAAACGTTTTTTATTTATAATAAGAGAGAGAATACCAACCGGGTTGAGTTAAGTGGTAAGCGCTTAAGCAAGGTTTTGGGTTCGAGTCCTTGTGGATGTAGAAAACTTTTGTCGGGTATCCACCACTGTCAAGTGTTCGACTCTGGTCGACCAACAGATTAGTCTCCAAATTA